TCTAGGTGAGTTGCCAACGTGTTAAGGATGGAACTTTCTATTGTTGCAGTTTAAATCGATAATGGGAGAGGTTCTATCGATAGGCTAGAACGATAGGGTGATGCTTTTGGTGGCGCCCTTTGGGGAATCTGCCATCTGGATATTTAAATTAATCGCGGGTAACTTAATTTCCGGCCTTGATTATGTCCAATGACCTAATTCCAAGAGAGGCTGGTAGAATGAATTTACAATATGTGGGAGTGAGTAAGGCAGAACATACAAAACAATTTCTCTGTATATAAAATATATGTTTTAGTGTGCAGGTCAGCCAGCTCTGGCGAAACTGGCCAAAAAGGCCTTGTGTGGACCAGCGACTGCAACGTATTAATATACTTGATCGAAATTTTCCTTATGTATAATGTGTCAAGAAAGGGTAGCGTTCTATTTTTACACTCCTTTTTTACTTATCATGATGCAAGAATTTTTGCATCATCTGGACATTTAAGTTAATCCCTGTTTATTTATTTCCCGGATTATTCTTAGACGGCCTTGGCTTTGTCCAAAGACCTAGTTCCCTGAGAGGCTAGGAAGTATGGCGGGGAGTAAATGATAGGGCAAATATATGCTTAAGGAGCTAAATAATTGAATAGAATATATAATAATAAAATAAATAAATATATAATATAAAATAAAATATTTGTTTGTGCTTAGGAAATAAAATATATTTTTTTTTATATGTAGTAGGGTATTTATGAATTATTCATGGGGCGACCACAGAGAGAGTCCTTCTTTATGGACAGACCCAATGGCCCAAAACGATGCTACGTTGTGGTCAAAATGCTTCCAAACATCGAAGTTCTATTGACCGTTGAAAGATGTTACCAACATTAGAAACAAGCCAACAGGAACAGCACCATGCCGCGGTCAGCACTTTTCAGAGGGCCAAAAACCGAAACACAAGACCGGTGACATAAGTGAATAAAATAAACTTGCAGAAACGTAATATCTGATGGCAGACACATCATTGAAGGGTAATGAATGAATGATCAACATAAATACATGTATGGTCAGTGAGCCGTGTGTTCAAAATGCTTCCAAACACCGCAGTGTTATCAGAGCCAGATATAAGTTATATTTCAATTGACATATGAAATTATGAAATATTATTTGCTATTAGCAAATGGGTCCAGGGTGAGGGTTCCGTTCAGTGAAGTTTTTGGCCAAAAGTGACGCCACAATAATTTCCACAAATTACTGCAGTACAAATGCATGTCCTTCTCAAAGAAAGGAAGGAAGGTAAAAAAGACCAAAATGCGCGTAAAAACACTGAATCAAAATACTGAAACACTGCATCGGTCTGGAAATAATGGAGAGGAAATGGTTCTGTAAACCGGATGACTCCAAATTATGCATGTTTCTCGTAAACGTACCGACGGTAGGCTTAATAAATTTTAAAATTTAAGAGAAATGCTTGAAATACAATTTATTAGCGAGATAAAATCGCAGCGTACGACACTTCCACTTCATCAACACTAAAAGCCGTGATTTCTGGAGCAAAGAAAAAAATATGTTTATATATGAGCAAGTGAAGTCCGCTATCCGAACATGTATAAATTCTGTTATTATTTCATGTTTCAAAATATTTTCGTTATTTTTGGAAGGGAAATGCGGGTACTCCAAGCCAATGGCTTTTCCAGAGACTGGCTATCACTCAACTAACGCATTTTCTGTAGAAGATTTTTCCTCTTTGGTTGAGGAATGCGCCCGAATACAAAAATATATGAAATTCAACAGAACCAACAAAAAAAACTAAACCACATAATTTAGTTTTTATTCAAATTTTGAATATGATAAATAATTGTTAGTAAATTAAAAGACTGATAAGGTAGAAGACCCGTGGACATAAGAACGCCGTTTTAAAAATGAATTTAAAAGAAATATTTTCATAATTTTAGCACGAACACTGCTATTAAAAGCTTTTCAAGCTGTGTATATTTTCATAAATTAAATCAAATGTATCTCGGACTTCTAAAAGACGAATTTTTCGATGAAAAATTATTTGTCCGAGAAAGAAGAACCTGCACTTCATCAACACAAAAAGCCGTGATTTATTTTTGGTCCCGGCAAAATCGTCATCCAGGAAAAGCTTCTGGAGCAAAGAAAAAATATATTTATATATGAGCAAGTGAAGTCCGCTATCCGAACATGTATAAATTCTGTTATTTTTTCATGTTTCAAAATATTTTCGTTATTTTTGGAAGGGAAATGCGGGTACTCCAAGCCAATGGCTTTTCCAGAGACTGGCTATCACTCAACTAACGCATTTTCTGTAGAATATCTTTCGTCTTTGGTTGAGGAATGCGCCTGAAGACAAAAATATATGAAATTCAAATTGGAAACAGTGAGTTGGCGAAAGAACTAGAACCAACATATTTCATATTCATATTTTGAATGTAATAAATAATTGTTAGTAAATTAAAAGACCGATAAGGTAGAAGACCCATTGACATGAGAGCGCCGTTTTAAAAATGAATTCAAAAGAACTATTTTCATGATTTTAGCACGAATACTGCCCTTAAAAGCTTTTCAAGCTGTGCATATTTTCATAAATTAAATCAAATGTATCTCGGATTTTCGAATTTTTCGTTGAAAAATTATTTGCCCGAGAAAGAAGGACCTGCATTGGCTGCAATACGAGCACGTTATGGTTTGATGACGACTAGTTGAATTCTTAGAGAATCTTTAGATGCCGAAAAACCTGACGCTAAGAGTCGAATAAAGAAGCTTGAGACGATGGAGGCAGAAGCTTGTCCGCTATCCGAAGATATATAAATTCTATGATTATTTCTTGATCCAATATATCTTCATTTTGTATGCAACTAGACCACACAAAAAGAGAAGTGCGGATCTCTGGGGAGATCTTCAAGGACACGCAGCCAATGGCTTTTCCAGAGGCTGGCAGATAGAAACCAGTGCGTGCCCGGTAAATGACCTTTACCGCATTAACAAACGCTTACCCGAAGATTTATAAATTCTATGATTATTTTTTGATCCAAAATACCTTCATTTTTTATGCAACTAGGCCCCACAAAAAAAGAAGTGCGGATCTCTGGGGATATCTTTAAGGACACGCAGCCAATGGCTTTTCCAGAGGCTGGCAGATAGAAACCAGTGCGTGCCCGGTTAATGACATTAACCGCACTAACCAACGCTTTAGTTTGTTGGGAAGCAACAACAGAAATCAAAGGTTAATAAAAGCCGCTGGGACAAATTGGGACTAGTCAGTTCCCTTTTTGTCACCCGCAAGCCATATTAAAAACCTCTAGGGCCTTACGCAAAATTCCATCTATAACTGCAGAGCTGTATAATTTTTACAAGGGTCGTCAAAATGTGCGGACTTAAAAAAGGTATTACGTCCTATTTACACTCTCTTACAATCCCAAGAAGTACTGCGAGGACAACTTGGTAATATTAAATGCCAACATTAAATCCCAATCGCCCTTAAAATCGACATTACATTCTTTTTTCACCCCTTTTGACGTTGATAATGTCCTAAGGTCCGATTCCAAGGAGTACTGCGATGATAATTTAGTTATCATAAATCCCAATCGCCCTTAAAATCGACATTACATTCTTTTTTCACCCCTTTTGGCTTTGATAATGTCCTAAGGCCCGATTCCAAGAAGTACTGCGAGGACAACCATGTAATATTAAATCCCAATCGCCCTTAAAATCGGCATTACATTCTATTTACATCCCTTTTGGCCTTGATCATGCTCTAAGGCCCGATTCCGAGTGTTACAGTTCAATAATTGAGCATTTCAATGAGATAACAAAAAAGTATAAATTACATTTGCGAAAACGAAATATCTGCTGGCAGCTACAACAATAGCCGTAGAAGCAGTATGAGGTTTCGCATTTAATATTACGCACTCATTTTCTGATGGACAAAATACTGCAAACATACCAAAGTGCTATCCGACCAAAGAAAGATGTTAACAAAGTTGGTCCTTTTTAGAGGGTCATGTCAAGTAACCAGACATAAAACTAGTTAAAATAATTGGCGCTTATATATTTACAAGGTGAAAATGAATTTAGATGAAATTATAGGGATGTATTGTTCCTATCAGATGTTAGCTTATTAATTTGGAAGAGAGAATAAATAAAAATATAATTTGTATTTATTTGGGTTGACCTAGGAGCGGATAGTATCCCTTGACAGCTAAAACAAGACTGTGAATTGGTATATCCCACAGGCAGATTCTTCTAGAGGTGAGTTTAGAGGTGCAGAAACATCGAGTGAAACATCGATAACATCGATGTTTTCAAAACATCGGAACCATCGATGGTTCGTGACCACCATCGATGTTTTCACAAGCAACTCTGCGCTCGGTGAGAAAAAATTGTAAACAAATGAATTTCTTATTGTTTTTTCTAAAAACTAACAAAATTGTTGATAATATTTAGGATTTCTAGTGTCGATGTCCGATAGTATCGACTAAGTCGGTGTCGATGTTTCATATCGATGTATCTAGTATTTAGTGTGTTGAAATATATAAAAAGTATCGTATCGATGATATATCATTTATTTTTAAATTTCAAATGGATAGAATATTAATCACCCGAAAAACATTGAATTAGACGTGTTATTTTGATATTATTTTAGTTATCGATACTATATATGTAAAGAAAAAAATAAACAAAATGAATTTAATGTGACTTAAAGACTTCAATTACTAACAATGGAACTTTGGTTCTGAAATAAATAGTTTTATACATTTATGACACGCGAAGCTGCATGACGGACAAGCATGTGACGTAAAATCAATATTCCGGACTGGTTCGTTTTTAATTTCAGGGGCGAAGTGAAATGAAATTAAATTAGCGTGGCGGTTTTCCCACACCATAAATTATAAAACATGAAAAATATATTTTAATAAAATAGCGATATTCGATGTACCAGTTGAAAATATCGATATATTGATATATTTTCCACATCCCTATTTGGTATTTCGATATTATGTGGTCCACTGTGAATTCATCGATATCAGGTGGTGCACTTTAAAAAGTTGCACGTGTTCGAAGTTAAATTGGTTTTTGTTTAATTTGGCGAGTGATTTAGAGATTCGGGGCCGCCATGCAGCACGACGATGTGAGTTTTCAACCAGGAGAACCGAGGAAGTCAGTAATCCAATCTCATTATCCATTTTTCAGGTGGTTTGGAGCATCATCAACAAGTCGTTCTGCTCGCACAAAGTCAAGTGAGTTGCATTTGGATTGCTAAATATTGAAATAAATGTTTGAAATACACTAATACATCGTACTCAAACCCCCGCAGGACCGACACGCGCACCTTCTGCCGGCATGAGTACAACCTGACGGGTCTCTGCACCCGCAGAACCTGTCCCCTGGCCAACTCACAGTATGCCACCGTGCGCGAGGAGAAGGGCATCATCTACTTGTTCATCAAGACGGCGGAGCGGTCCCACATGCCCAGCAAGCTGTGGGAGCGGATCAAGCTGTCCCGGAACTTCGAGAAGGCCATCGAACAGATCAACGAGAACCTGGTTTTCTGGCCCAAGTACATGATTGCCAAGAACAAGCAGCGTTTCCTCAAGATCACCCAATACCTGATGCGAATGCGCAAGCTGAAGCTGCGCCGCCAGAAGCTCATCGTCCCGCTCTCCACAAAGATCGAGCGGCGGGAGGCGCGACGCGAGGAGAAGGCCTTGGTGGCCGCCAAGATCGACAACCACATCGAGAAGGCCCTTATGGATCGTCTCAAGAACGGCACCTACCGCGACATCTACAACTTCTCACAGACCGCCTTCAACAAGGCTCTGGAGGCGGAACGGGTGGACGAGGAAGACGAGGACCTGGACGACGAGGATGAGGAGGAGGAGCACGAGCGCGAGATGGAGGTGGACGCCGACGCCGACGATTCCCGCGAGGCTGTCGAGCTGCAGAGGTCTCTGCTCGACGAGGAGTTCGTGGAGGCCGACACGGATGATGAGGAGGAGGACGACGACGACGATGAGGACTACGACAGCGATTCTGGCAAGCGGGAGGAGGTCGAAGTGGGCAGCGACTTCGCAGAGTCCGACGAGGACGATGATCCGGATGCTGATGACATTGAGGTAGTGTTTCTGCTCATTTATACCGATTTTTGGCAATTCTTTGGAGTCCTAGAACGTGATAGGTGTAGTATTGAAGGTTTTTTCTAATATAAAAAAGGGTTTTCGGTAAAGTGTTGGGGGTTAAAAAAAAGCCGCCAGTTTATACCTTTTTTTGTACAGATAAATAGATTATTTAGGTGCTGTTTGAGGTGATTAAAACGAAATCTTGATCACTTTAGATTTCTTCGGCAATAGTTTCGCATTATTGAATATATCTCATCAATTCCCAAATCTCGATTCCATTATTTACCTCAATATATTAGATATAGGGTTTTATTAATTTAAGCTGTTGCTCAATATGGTTGTCTTCTCACAACTACTTATTTCTAGAAATAGAAACATTTTCGAAGCATCCTTAAGACTACAAGATATTTGATAAGTCCTTAAATGGAACATAAAAAGCGAGAGCTTGGACATACACTTTTCCAAAATCCTGCCTACGATAGCCACCGAAAATTACCATAATTAGAAATAGCAAACGAGTTCTGACCGCTTAGAGCTTAGAATACTGAGTTGCTGTGAGAGCTTTCGAGCGTTCGCTGCTTTTCATTCAGTTGCGCGGTCTTCATTCAGTGCGCGTAAGGTATTTAGCTCCAGAAAGTTGCCAAATAAAATCGTAGATCCAATTAATTTAAATCCGAGCTAACGAAGCCGTTAAATCGCAAATAGGACATCAAAGTGCCAGCCAAGAAAGCCGCCAGCAAATCAAAGAAGGACAAGAAATCGCCGGCGCCCAGTCGTCGCAGCCGCTCGAAACCCAAACTGGAGCTGGAGTACGAGTATGAAGTGGAGAAGGAGGCGCAGGGCCAGTTGCGCCATTAGCCAGGTCCACACTATATTCCCCAAGCACCCCCACTTAGCTGTTAGCGCTTATTGTTTAGCCAACTACGTTTGTAATGCCGCTTAGGAATAGTATTTTATAAAACCCAAGATGAAAAACACCAATGCATATTGTCTGTGTTTCTGTTCCCAAAAATGGAACCATGCATCCCATCGCATCCCACGGTGCATCTGTCTCGCTCGCTTTGCCTTCTGACCAAAATCGTGCTAGCTGACATTGAAAGTGCGTGAGTCGGGGGTTAAGACACACGGGGGTTAAGCGGCGCGGCAGCAATGCAATATAAAAACCAGTTTGGGAAATATTCTATAAAACTATAAACAATTTCAGCCAGAGCAATACTTTTTTACATACCCTGTATGGAGTTGCAGGGCAAATTAGCTTTGTAGATCATTTAAATTAGGTACATTTAAAGGTTCGCCTTAAAACATTACAATGCATAGGCTGACTATTTTTTTTTGTAATAAACAACTTATTGTATTAAGGCGAAAAATATTTTGGTTATTAGGAAATGTTTTAATTATAAACGGATTTCTTGTATCAAATAAATGAGAAGATCTAATTGGTTTCTTGAGTTTTTCAACTCTTATCAATATACCAAATTTCATATCAATCAAGGTCTGAATCTTAATTCTCATATGTATACCGAATTTCATATTAATAGGACAAACAGGTCCATCCTTAAATCTGAATTGGTTATTTTTTGGAAAAACCCATATCTCTTTTTTCAACAAAGCCTTTAAACAGCATCTATAAGGTCGATACCCCACATATCGTTCGTTCTACGGACGGCTACTATATATTTTAAAAAATTGCTGTCGCGGAGCTAATTAAATATCGCACGCCAAGTTCATTGCAGCGCAGCCAACCGATTTTGATTCCGCAGCCCAACCCAAGATCGTATGGGTTTTGATTGGGAGCCGCCCCTTGTCATCCCAAGGTCATTCCGCATTTGCGGCCAAAGGTTCTGTTTTGTTTAAACTGGCCATAAAAACACGGCAGAACCTACAGGTGTGAATAATCGGGGTTTACTACCCGGCCACTGGGTAAAAATCTTGAAAACCTTTCAGCTTTGAGTGGCGGTTTTCATTTGTAGTACGGCATTATTTACTCTAACAGATGGAGAGCTAAATGAGTAGAAACATCGGTTGTTAAATGGGCGAACTGATTGGCAGTTTTTTAAGTTATTATGCATCTTTACGGACTGCTAGTTATTGCCTATGAAGTTTAAAATTAAGGAAAAAACAGATCAGAGCTTTTTGGCGCCAAAACTAAAGTATACTATAAAATTTAGAAAGATATTACAAAGGTTTCGGTTCACATTAGATTGAATTTCTGGCTTTGAAAGAGATTGCAGGGTTTGCCCATTTGGATCTTTCAATACAAATAAATATATATTTAAAATCCGGACGAGACACGTCTCGTTGATTTATTATTCGACACACTTTAGACTAAAACTAGCATAGGAAACATAAAAAAAACGCTTGCCATAGAGTATTATACAACAGATTGCTAGCTATAAAGAACACCTTAGTCTGTGGCTGCCGTACAACAAAAGTGAACATGGTCCAGGGCACATTCGAAACACACAGTTGTCAGTTGTTGGGTGTATATACATTATATTAGCACGTGTAAAGTAAGTTTTCCATTTCTAAGTTAAACAGTTTCTCGTTCTCTTTGTGTTTGCATTGTCTTCTGCTGTCCGTAGTCGGTGTAATGTGGGTGTAGTCAGCAGCAGCGTTCCCCCCTGCGAGGCCTCCATCGCCTCCGAGTGGCATGGTGGTCCTGTGTTGTCGTCCTCCTCAGTTGATGCCTCTCCTTAGTTTATGATCTGGTTATTTGGTATTCTCTGGTTTCGCCTTCCTCAGGCATTGGGACTAAAGGCCGCCTGGCGCAGCAGCACATAGATCTTCTCCTTGATCCAGTCCTTGTTGTAGGGGGCATAGGTGTTGGTGCTCTTCTGGTACACCATGCAGCTGATGTCCATCAGGGTGTCGATGAAGTCGAACAGCTGGCTGATGTCGTAGGTGATGGTCGGGGTGTTCGGGTTGCGTCGCTTCAGGTGCTCCTCGTAGATCTTGCACACGCCCTCCATGCACTCGTTCACGCTCTCGTAGTCGCAGTAGGTGCGGGTTTCCGGACGGGCGCCCGGCTGAACCAGTAGGATGGTGTGCGACATGGTGATCTGCAGGGGAAGGCAACATATTAGTGATACGGCTTGGGAAACATATACTATATTATATACGATACAATGGGCTTAAGGAAAATACTGGGAAATGCAGCAGGTTTAAAGGCTAGCCTGAATTTTTATACATTTGCTATAAGATTGCTGGGATATATTTCTTACTTCTTAAGATAGTTTAGTAATAATAACTTAATTTCTCAATCGAAACTTCTAGTAAAATGGTTTAATTTCCACAAATTCGTCTAGTTAAGTTCAAATTTGTGCAAAAATAATTGATAAATAATTCTAAAAATGTTGAGTATACTTTGTTTTTTAAGGGTTTGAAAGAATTTGGATACATTTACACTATAAATAACTGTATATAAGATGGTTATTTTCATTGGTCTTATAATATTAAATTGATTTGATTTCCTTTATAGGTATTCTTATCAATCCTAATAGCTACATACTAAAATAAAAGATTCGTCATCGTTTTTCTTATCTGCATGGTACCAAAATTCTTAAGATTCGTGTGTTTCAGAAAAAGTTCTTATAAATCGAACTTAAAAATATGAAAATAAAATGTTATAGAAATTTAATGGTGGTTGACTGTAAAAATTGGAAATATGATCTTTTATACTTTTTATGTGGGTAGTTCCCTAGAAACTTTCTGAGTTTATGATAAATGCAATTAAAGTATACAAAGAAGCCTTTCTTAAACAAGTTTAATGTTTACACTAAAAACATGCTTCGCAATGATATAGCAACGAAATGCAGTCCCATACTTAGATTGCAGTGTTTATTCTGAAGTCCTATGAATTCCGAGACTTTCGAAGTGTCTTTATTTTTCGCCGATTCTGCAAAACACGAAAAACTTCATTAGGAGTCATAGAAAAACACAATGCAAAAAGAAAGAGAAACAAAATGTTTCCTTCAACGCATCTCACTCACACCCATACACTCGCATACATGTGCGGGCCAATTGCTCTTTTATTTTCCAATTTGCTACCGTTAAATGGTAAACTACGCCCACTAAATGCGAGAGTGCAGTAATTTAATCTAGGAAAACCATTGATTGCCCGGAAAATACACGTATTTCCACATTTATTGGCTTGATTTTGCCGCTTTAGTGAAACACAAACATTCACACACACACACAGGGACAGCCGCCGCCGCGTGTGTGTAACTAACTGTATGCGCCCAATTGTTTTTCTGCTTTTATCCCCGGTTTAACCCGGTTTTTACTTAAACCCCATTGCCCTCGCCTGGTGCTGCACTCACCCGATCGGAATTGAGAATAATGGCTGTGGAATTATGCTGATTCGAGACGGCGACTCGGTAAATTCAACGCTTGGGTTTTTTATTTTTTGCCAGCTTCAGTGTTGGAAAGCGCAGGTGGCGGCAGTGCTGGGAAGCGATAGTGCGGCTAGAGAAGGTCGCGTGACTGCGTGACTAATTAATCGAGAGATAGCGATTAGTTTTATATGCATTTAATATACTCAATTTAATATACTCAATAAATAATTCACCTAGATAGCAAATCACGCACGATTTTCACGCAAACACTTCAGTTCTGAAAGTGTTTAAAAATGTTGCCTTATCGTTTGGATTTTATAAAAACGACAACAGATGTCGCTTATGACATTATGATAGTAGCTAAATTAACTAGATTTATTTTTTTAAGTCATTAATTAAATTTATTTACTAATGTTTACTTAGTAAGTCGATGCAAGAATCATGTGCCAGGTTTGGTTTTCAATTGCATATTAATCGTGTACGAATGTAGCTGTTATTGTAAGGAAACCAATTCTTGTTGTTAAATTGAATGAAATGGACTAAGCTTAAATAGTAAATATTGAAATTTATATGAACCAAAACAAAATTTTTTTCCAAACACTAGTTTATTGAGGGCTGAAGTTTAAAGACGATTCAGTACATTTTGACTACCAAATATATATGTTTTAGCAAAAAACCACAATTTATAACATTTTCAAGAAATTAAAAAATAAGCATAAAATTTGTAAAAACTAAATCTTGTGATTGTGAAATCACCAGCACCTATCGGCCATCGCTAGCTCGGACAGTCTGGCCACCTTGCTGCTCGACCAGGGCTGCCACACCGCGGCAATCGGCGATCCAACTTGCCACCAGCTGTTTGATCCCAATTGGACCAATTGGAAGAGCGCGGCGACGCGGGCAGCGCAGTCGGCGGCGGCAGAGCGATCGGCAAAGAAATCAACAACAAAAAAGCAAATCTCGTCTGAATTTTATTTACGTGCTTTTTGTTTTAGTGAAAAGTGAAGGCGCAGCCGCAGCAGCCCGATTTTTTTCGCGATCCCATAAATTTGTTGTTATTTTCAATTGTGCAAGTGCGGTTCGGGTTTTTTTCCGTTTTTTTTTCGGTGTTTGTGTGCGTCGTTCCAATTGAAAGAAAATTAAGAGAAAATCAAACAAATTAAATAAATGGGGAAATAAATAAGTAAACAAATGAAATGGTGAATAGTGCAATGGAAGAGAAAAGAGATGAATTAAACAGAGTAAAACAGAGTAAATGAGGCCCAAAGTCAGTGAAATAACAAAGAAAATACCACGGAAAGAGCAGTAAAAGTAGCTCCAAAAAAGCAGTCAAAATTCAACCAACGCGACGCACGCGTGTCCAATTTGCTCTTCTTCTTCTCCGCGTTCTACACACACACACATCGTCCATGTGTGGGTGGCTGTATCTGTGTGTCTTGTGCATTTTATTTGATTTGTTGCTCATCTGTTATCTTTGAAATCTCGAAATCTCAATGTTCTCAGCGGCCAATGGCAAAATCAAGGTAAAAACGTGCATCTTTAAGATTTCCCCTCCCAAGTGGGGAGTACCCATTGTTTAAATCGGTTTGTGGGTTAAGGGATCCTGAATATTCACTAAAGACTCTTTAAGTTTGGAGGCAAATGGTTTAAATGCTTTAAGGCACCCATAACTTTGCTGTTCTGTTGAAATTATATTTAATCTTATTGCTCATTTGATTGCCTTATTTTATTTTTAACATTTAAAACCACAAAGTAAATAGATTTCTGTTGTGGCTTACGTTTTCAGCATATAAATTGAGTATTTCATTTAAAATTGAAAAATTATTCAGGCTCTGTTTGTCATAACCAGTTGTAGGGAAAATACAAAAATGCTTTTATTTTTACAACGAAACAATAATATATTTATATTTTATACAGTTTTTATAGGCCAGCATAAATGTTGTGCAAAATATAAAACCAATTGGCAAACAAAGCTAAGGTTTAAAAATTAAAAATCACAATGAATAAATCCACCATGTAGGATATTTACCAGCTGCGATATTTAACATGTTTAAATATTTTGGGATAATTATCAGAATCTTATCTGCTGTTTACATAAGATTTATTGCGGTGTATTTATCTTTATGAGGCTATCGCCAAACATAAATTAAGTAAATATTAATTAATTAAATATTAATTTTTCAGTATTATGTTTTACTAGCAAAAAGCTAACTAACAAAAATGAAAAATAAAAGAATATTGTTATATTGCTATACATAAAGATTACGTTTTATCATTAAAGTACCATCATATCATCATACCAAGCGATCCTATAGGGTACACACATTTTTAAGATTTATTAATGCGAAATGAATATCATAGATAACTTGCAGTAAAAACTAAAAATATAAGAATATAGTTATATTTAAAGATTCAATTTTATCATCAAAGTATCATCATGTCATCATACCATGCGATCCTACAGGGTACACACATTTTTAAGATTTATTAAAGCGAAATGAATATCATAGATAACTTGCAGTATAATATCTGAGTATTTCTGAGCTAACAAACAAAAGTTAAAAATATAAGATTATGTTATAGTTATATATAAGGATGAAGTTTTTTATTGAAGTATCATCATATCATCATACTTTGCGATCCCATAGGGTATACACATTCTTAAGATTTTTTAATGCGAAATGAAAATCATATATGTATAGAAACTACTTGCAGTATAATATCTGAGTATTTCCGTGGATTATCCTACAATTTCCCCATATCCTTACAGTTAGATCCGGATGACGCCGAGCTGGTGACGTCACCGCTGCGCTGCCTTCTCAACGGTCCCTTTCGCGATCTGCACTTCAACGTCAGCGACCACCGATTGATTCCCGTCCACGATGTCGTCTTCCTCGACGATTTCGAGCACAACGTGAAACCTTTGATCTACCGCCCCGTGACGTCAGAGGTCGCTGCCTCTGCCTCTGCCCCTGCCCCTGCCAACGGCGACGTCGACGGCGACGCAACGCCGGCAGAGGAGCAGCAGCGCAGCTTCATCCCAATCAGCAGGTGAGTCACTCGGGTGCGAAAGAGATGGCGAGCGATCGATATCGCACTTGGCCTTGAACTTGATTCCATTTTGTTTTGGTGTGCGAGAAAGAGATAGAAAGAGGAGGAGAGAAAGAGACGGGGTGCTAGCTAATTAATATTTATGACTGGGAATTTCATTGACCTTATTTAATTTTGAAATATTTATTTTTTTGTTTGGTTGGTTTGTTTGGTTGTTACTTAAAAAGTTTGAACTGCATACGTTTTAATATATTATTAGATATGAGGTTCATTTAAATTGCTAAACAACCAGTTCATCCCGTATATATATTGTACGTTTGATTAAAAAACCCTTGAATTTAAATATATAGGATGAAACAAGTTTCGTAAATAATTATTTTCATTTTACATTTATTTGTTCAACAATGCTTTCAAGTGACCTTTAGCGAGTCCCCATTGTCTGGGCATCTGTAATAATTTGTCGTGTTTAACGCTCGTTTTTGAAGAGTGTTTGCTTTAGAGCCCCGATAAGTGAAGAACATTCTCAGGTGATAAGAAACTGGGCGCCCCTGATGTGTTGGAACATCACCATTATTATCGTCAAAGGTGTGCAAAAAATGTTCATCTTTTCCATACGACTTTGTAGCAGTTTTGTCATTGGTTTTAAGGTGTGTCCCTGAGTTTTTATTTTCTAGATATAATTTTTTAAGTACAACAAAAATTAGCTATTGAAAAGAAGAGTATTACTTCGAGTACATGAATTAATTGAATGTTATTTTATGTCTGTGGCCATACAAAGTGTTTTATTAATCGTTGAACGAGCTCTTCCATGCGACTCTGCTTCAAGTTTATAGTCACGACCCGCACTGTCCGCTCTTATCAAAAAATCGTTATGCGTGTTTATTTATTTTGGTTTGTTGTTCCTTATTTTTACAGGTTTTTTGTTGCTGCATTTTACGAGTGTTTTGTTTGCCGACTTTTGTGTTTGACTACATTTCGCCCAATTGTTTTCTATATTTCTATATGGGCGCTAAACACACGCCTGCCTTAACTATTATTATTGTTTTATTTTTTATTTTTTGAGGCTATCTCTTTCGGTGGATTTAAATTTATGCCTCATTTATTCTGCATTTGGAATGCTGTTCGTTGACTTACTTGGTCGCTGCCTTTTGGCCAAACATGAGAATTTGTTAGCCGAATTTGCTGGTTTAAAGGCCATTCAACTGATTAGAATCAACGCAAAGACTTAAATGTTTTTTGTGCCAGTTTAATTGATTAATTATTAACATAATAAAAAATGTATTTCAAATTTTCTAACAATCTTCTAACAATCAATAAACATTTTTTTAATTTTATATTTTTGTTTATTTCCCTGTAGAGCATCTGACTTTATTACCCTCAAATTATTTTTTTGAATGCTTGATTTCCTTGTTGTTTTTTAGTTTTTTGGTTGGCTGCCTCGTTTAACAATAAAATGCGGGTTTACTTATCAAATGTACACATAAAATGCGTATTCCAACATAAATAAATATAACAATAAAAAGGAATTTTCTAAAAATATGGCATTACCATAGTAATGAGTTACCAAATGTTACATTTACATTTCCATTTTTTTTATTACTAGCTTAAAAAATATGTGTTTTTCTTTTTCTGTTCCATTTCCTCACAATATATTTAAACAGATTTAATCAATTAAAATAATTTTAAATAACCTAATGTTAAAGCTGTAGTAAAAAATTTAAAGAGCACCCATATTTCGGTGCTACTGAGATTGCTTGGTTTTCCTGTTTCTTCCGCTTTCTGGTCGATTCTTTGGGTTGGTTTGGCCGCAGATTTTTATTATGTGCCATTGAAGGTTGTCCGAGTTGACACCTTTTCGCAGCCGTGTCTCGATATTTTCTTGTATTTTTTATTCATTTTTTTATAGACCCACTGACCGTCGCCGGCTTTTTTCGTCACAGTTACCAGCATAAGTTTCGTGCCCTTGGCATTGACCGTCGGCCACACGCTCCGCAAAAAGCAATCCATCAGTCAGCTACTTTTTGCGTTCGACACTTGTTTTTCCCCCGCTTCAAATACATGAGAAACT